TAGCAATTCATCAGAATTATGAGAATATTTTGATACGTTATTGACATTAAGTAGTGTAAGTTCATTTGTTCGACATGCTCCGGTTATACCAATAATAAGAACAACCTGTAACAAAAGAAGTATTTATAATCGTAAATAAATTAATCAAATTAAAAATATTGTAAGTACTATGTACAATTTTATCAACAACAAAAAATTACACGTATTGACTTACTTTTGCCGCTAAATATACGGAATCAGGTGCTTCATTAATAAACTTTGCAATTTCAGATGCTGTGAAAACCTTCGATTTTTTTGGTTTATAACCAGATGAGGCTCTTTTTAAAAATGCCACTAATTTATGATAGGTGTCGATATGAACGTCTTTCTTCATCTTAATTGTTAATTTTAGCATTGAATACGTACTCCATAGCGTGCTTGCTTTCTTGGTCTCAGATAATTCTATAAAATATGCCAGCAAAACGTTTTCGGAGAAAGTTTTTGCTCCTTTAGCTAGTCGCCACATGTTAAATATATCGTACTGTTTCAAATACTTCTCTCGTGATTGCTGAGGGAGAAGGCTCATTTGCGCATTATTAACTGTTTCAGTTAACTCAGTTGGCGTTAGATAAACTTCATCGTCGCTAATGTCACTCATTTTAGTTGATTTTTTTGTACAGTTTTTAGGTTATGTTAATTATATTAAGCAATAAAACGTGAAAAACTAGAATGGCGCGAAGCACGCAAATAAAACAAAGAAACCAAGAAGGTTCCAAATTTAAATTTTTTCACAATTTAAAAAGTTCTAATCATAAATTTGGCACCATAGAGGTTACATTAAATAGGTTTAATGACGTTTTGAATTTACAATTATATTGAGTACTCATTATATGTGATGTTCTAAATTCAAATCTACTTTGCCGCTCAAGCGAATAAAATAGAATTTTCCAGCCAGATTTCGAAGCGCAAAATTACACTTTCCGAGGTGGTGGGATGAAAAAAGTATTTATTAATCTGGAACAACGGAACCAAAGCGCGATTCAGGAGACTACAGCGCCATCTCTTGACCATTGGTGTAGTAGAACCAAAAACCACATCTTTATTTTTTGTAATAAAGTAACAGTTATAGGTATTCATATTTATAATATTTATCCACATGTTTCTAGTTTGTATATTCGGAATACGTGTTTGAGTTTCATACAAGTGCAAATCACATATGTTCTAATAAATTATATTCAGTAGCGATTTTAATTGAATATTTTGATTATTTATTTATTTTTTCAAATTAAAACTGAACTTTATTGACTGTGTCCTTTTCCAGACTTTTTATTAATTTATTGTAATTAATTATTTGCATGCAATTAAAAACTAATTTTAAACGATGCCAAAGAAGGATAACTTCTCACGCGCCTACATAAGTACACGCACCCATTTTTTTCTAATATTTAGGTATTTCGGTTTTTCCATCGGGCAAAATATCTGGAATAATATATAAATAAGTGGTTAGGATGAAAAAAGAGACAAACGAGTAATCTACCTACACTCGCGTTAAAAACAAAACTACATAAAATACTGTAGGCTGGCGTCCCTACCGCGTGCCAACGCAGCGCTCGGTGTAGGCATTTATTTTCAAGGACAGGGCGGAGTCACAATACTGTATAGGTAGATAATATTACCGTGGTAAGAGTGTAAGGGAATAGTTTAACAATCTTGCATTGATCTGTAATATAATACATAATAATGCATTGGCTTGATATGACTCACTAAGCGTTTGATAATAAATTATTATATACTGTTTTACGTAAATAAGTAATTTTGTTTCATGGAATTTTACTATCTGTTGAGGCGCGGGCGATATCAAAATAAAATTTATCACCGCAAAAGGATATTTTTATAGTCTTATAATAAAAACTTATGCGAATTTCCCAGAGAGATGAACAAAAATAAACTGTTCTCCACTTATTTTGATCATGCTTGGTCTTGACTCTTGACACACCTTTTACACTTCCTTTAGTGTCATACTGCTTTGGTGATGCATATTTTTTTGTATAGCCCTCACTCTAATAGTGGCCAATATTTTAATATCTTTGGATAACACAGATAAATGTTGATATAATCAATGTACATAAATACAAAAAATATTCAAAGAAATGATTCATAAATTATATTGTATGATTCATATATGAGCAAGTACCTACTGCTCATTATGAATCATCATCATCTGCCTGACCACAGTTTAACAATTTTGTAAAATTTGCAATGAGGAATGAGTGTGAATATTATGGCATAATTGGAGACTGCTTATACATACTCTCGGACATCCATACGTCCATACCCGTCTTTCCCAGTGGGCATTTTGGGCAAGTGCCCAGGGCCCCGCGCTCGATAGGGCTCCCTCAGAACAAATACAAAATCCCTAGTTCTTGTTAAATCACCAAACAGAAGTCATAGTGGCCCCATTATCCTAATATCCCCAGGGCCTCCAATAGGTCAAAGACAGCACTGCATACGTCAGTTATTTCCTCCATATTGATTATATGTGAGGCATGTAGATGTCGCCGCCACACTATAATACACACAGCTAAGATATTACCCTATCGATTATCTCATTTCCGCGTAGTCAGCTGACCTCAATGCACCAAGGACCGCTTGGTCCTATTAGATCCTCACCTAAAATCATATTATGTCTGATCGAGTACCTAAAAAAATGCATATTCATGAGCGTGCCTCAGGGATCAACATTTGGGCCACAGCTGTTTTTTTCTAATTATATGGATTATTTATTATCTTTCTTCTCTATGATATGCTTCTTTAGTTCTTAAGGTTGATCGAAGGCGTAAATAATAAATGTTCTTTTTAACATTTTACAGTGATTCACAGTATTAAAGTCTGTCCTTAAACTAACAGAACAGTACATTTTAACATTTAACATCTAAATAGATTCGCTAAGATTAGGGACTGGACTTCTCTTTCACTTAATATTAGGTGGAGTGGGTTAAATTGTTGCGCCTCCTAGGTATAAAAAAATCTAAATTGATTAAGATTTTGGTACCAAATGTCGAGCAGGTCGATACATCTTTAATCATGAATGGTCAAGTTATTTCTCTAGTAACATGAACGAATTTTTTAGGTACCTATAAAATTAGATTGTACTTAGCATGGATACTCATATTGATGCCCTGTAAAGCAGATTTAAAATTTAGGCTAATTAATAAGTGACATGAAAAATTTTTTTTTTCAGAATTTGTATTTGTATAGCCATTTAACAAAAAAATATAAAAACAATGATAATAAAATTTGGACAGACGCAAATGGCTGCATTGCAAGTGTTATTATAACCTTGTTCGGTACGGGACCATTTGTGTACGAATCCGACTCGCGCTTGGCTGTGCTTGGCTCGGTTTCGTTTCGCCAAGATTTGTAGATTTGTCTTGCAAATTAAGCTTCCTAGGATGCCTTACTCCACAGAACACAGAAAGAGGTTGTCACGCCCTTGTGGGCGGGGCAGGCGCGCCAGAGTTATGTGTGAGCAAATGCTCATAACTTGACCAAAACTTGGTTCTGATTGCGTCATTGCTCTCGGGTGTGAGCGCTGATGGGTTTGATTGTTGTATGACGCGTAGCTATTCTCTACTAGGTGGAAGTGTAGTGGGGGCAAGCCGGCCACATTGGTTTCGGTACAAATCTATACTAATACTAGCGGACCCGACAGACGTTGTCCTGTCTACACGTCTTTGTGAATCTAAACCATTCTCAGATCCCCTTGAACACACACAAAAAATTTCATCAAAATCGGTCCAGTCGTTTAAAAGAAGTTCAGTGACATACACACTCACAGAAGAATTATATATATAAAGATTATAAAGCTGCAGAGTTTGTTTGTTTGAACGCGCTAATCTCTGGAACTACTGGTCCGATTTAAATGATTCTTTCAGTGTTGGGTAGTCCATTTATCGAGGAAGGCTATAGGCTGTATTTTTCAAAATTCAAATTTAGGGATCCGTAATAAAATTGCTGTTTTGTAACACAAGGTGAAAAATTGAAAACCTATTTTTGCGTGCGCTGCAAAAACTATTGATAATAGAACAAAATGATGTACTACGGGTTTGTAGATCCCATTAATACCTGCAAAAAAGTCCGCGAGAGCATATATCTAGCTATCATGGTTTAATCACAATAACCGATTTTGTGTTCAAAATAATTATTAAATCTTCTGAAGAAAAAAAAACTACTTGGAATCTTTATCGAAATTAAGCATTATGTTATCAAGAGTATTTATGTAAAAGTAAAATACTTTTTGTTTCATCTCAATCGGATATTTCGTTTAAGAGTTATCACGTGTGTAAGATGTTAAGAGTTGGTACCTATTAATGAGTTATGGGCCATAGAGTTTTTTAATCAACATAAAATCCAATATTCAATAGTTCATTTATTGAGGGAGGCTATAATAACGACAATGTTTTATCTCGGTATATCCTCGGAAACGAGGAAAATGCGGGTGAAACCGCGGGGCACGGCTAGTTACGGTATATGAACCCCTTTCTAACCTCTTTCCATGTTCTGTGCCTTACTCCATGAGAGACAACGGACGGAGGCTCGATTAGCTCATAGCCCAGCTACGACACTGATTATGTCAAATCTTGGGTACTTTTTGGGGACCGTCAACTAACCCAGGAAATTCCAACGGCAGCACAAAAAAGTACAGAAGAAAAAATCTAGCTCAACATATATTATCCATAGCCGCTTACGAACACAAGACGAAAGCATTGACAAGTAAACATCCAGTAATGAACATAGTTAACACCGAATTCATCAACGCCCTAAAATGTTTTCTATTGATTCGCTATGTTATCACTCTTATCTAATAGATAGCGGCTATGCCCGCAAATAAGTATTAATTCAACTGATATCACAAGGCGTTTTGCATTCATTTACAAACCACCTGTGCAGTTTTTCCTTAATACTTATAAATATTTTGCGTTTATAATAATTAAGGATTGTTTGTGAAACGTAAATTCAAAATGTGTTGTTGTGCCGAGTTTATAATTAAATATGTTTTATTCTTCGCCAATTTTGTGTTCTCGGTGAGTTTTTGTGTTTTTAAAATTCATTAAGTAACTGAAGTTAGTAAAACTTTATTGTATGAATGATGAGGTGATTAAACAATATATTCGTTTAACAAACAGACCCTCAGTTTGTTTTTTGTTAGTAGTTAGTAATTCTACTTCCTACTTATATAGAAGTTTGCATGTTTGTTACTCAATCACGCAAAAACGGTTGAACGGGTCTTGATGAAACTCGTCACACGTATAGTTTATTACCTGGATTGAGACAAAGGACACTTCTTATCCCGGAAAAAAGTTATATAGGTTTCTGAGGAATACTCAAAAATACTAAAGATAACGCGGCCCAAACGAAAACAAAGATGACTGTGGCGCTACCTATCAGTTCCAGTTCGTCTTAACTCCAACGTACATACTCGTAACACAAATAAACACTGCCGGATTTAGGGGAGGGCAACCGGGGCGAAAGCCCCGGGGTCTCCACAAACGGGGGCCCCCACAATAGAGACTTTGGAAAAAAAAATCTTTCAAAATTCCAACTAGTAAACACTAGTAAACATCTTTTCCTTTGATATTTTTTTTTGCTCTTTTACCTTTACCTACAGCCAGGGCCGAATTTAAGGTAGGGCAGGTGGGGCTGTGGCCCAGGGGCCTGCACAACAGCTTAAGAAATAACAACATTTCGATGGGTCAACAAGCATGCAAATCCTATGTGGCCCGGGGTCTCCACAACAGGATAAAAGATAACAAAATTTCGATGGGTTAACAAGCATACAAATCCTAAGTGGCCTGGGGCCTCCACAATCCTAAATCCGGCCCTGCAAATAAACATAAAAATTTCACTCAATTCCGGCGTAAGGCTGAAAGTTTTCTTTATAAACAAGTCATTATCAAAGATAACTCCAATTATATACTAGGTAGTAATAAAAGGAAGTAGGCACTATTGCTTTAATGAAAGACTAGCGGCCCGCACTCGCTTCGCTTCGGTGTAGAGCTGAAGTGCGGACTACAGTTTTTGTTCTCAGGCTTGTATTATACACAATGACATTCATCTATGATTCTTCTTATATCTGCATGCAAAGTCTCAGCCCGATAGGTTTAAAATTGACAAAGTTTCATACAAACTTTCATTCCCTATTTTATCCTCCTGGGGGTAGAATTGATCAAAAGCCATTCTAAGCGGGTGCCTACGTCATAACATCTACCTGCATGCCAAATTTCAGCCCGATCCGTCCAGCGGTTTGGGCTGTGCGTTGATAGATCACTATGTCAGTCAGTCAGTCACCTTTCAGTTATATATACTCGTATATAGAAAGAAGGATTTAGCTACGGCTGATTTTTAACCAAAGCAGAATCGATTTGTTGTCAACTGTCAACATTAAGCTGCACACACTACACAACCAGTATATGACTCGCCAGATAATAAGCGATCACCATAGCCTATAGACGCTTGTTATACCAAAGCCATCACAAGCCCCGTCGCCTACCCTGTCCCAATGTAAGCAGGGCACCACAGGGTAGGGCGAGGAGTGTTGGAACCTTACTCTACGATAGAAACACAACACCACATGTGGGTAAAGTTATTTTACTGTAGTCTTATTTTAAGTGGAGATTACTCACTGCAATTCCATGCCCTATACCTGCCTTGAAATAATGTCTGATCGAGTACAAAAATTTCATGCAAAACCACACCAGTTAGAAGCATGCCTCAGGGATCAAAATTGGGTCTAGTAACTATTAACGCCTAGATTAAACAAAATATAATTTTGTCTGCTCCTTCAAACAGACCCTTGATATTGATTGCGCCCGAAACACCAACTATTATTATTTATCTTGATAGCTAAGTCAATTAAGCAAACAGTCAAGGAAATTGAAGCGATCTGCTTTTTATAGCTTTATAGCGTAGCATTTGATCGACCAGAGTAGTTTTTATCTAAATATGTACTTAGTACACACAAACTAAAGATTGACGCTGATAAGACTGACACCCAAAACAAAAAAACATCTGAAAACATTTTGAAAAACTATTTGACGTCTGAAGTAGTCACATTGAAAAAGTATGTCAAGTATTGTCGAGGCCCTGTTTATGGGTCTCCATCGTGTAGCTATAAGAGCTATATTCGTGCGGTACTGGCATATTATCAGACATATTATATGCCCTTGACTGCCTGTACTCATCATTACCCACCCACCATTATCTCATAGATAAGATCAATGGTATTGTCGCGAAACGGATATCTGAAAAACTATAATAAAACATGGTATTCTACAAACAACAGTGAAACATGATAAATTAATAATGTCGATGGTTACCCAAAAACTGCGATTACCGTAATGCGATTCAACTAAAAATAGGACCGACTGGGCGCCATATTTATACGTCATAGCTGTCAATTCAAACCAAATAGGTAGAGTGAGCAAAAAAAGTTTGCTATTTAATAAAACTTATTTACTAAGATTAAGTGAGACAAAACATAAGATTTTTTAATAAAAATAATTTACTAAGGTTGAGAAAGAACACAACCGATTTTTAATAGTATTTCTGTATAAAAAAAACATTAATCAGAATCTAGCTCTTCAATTTCGCTCATCTCAGCATTACCGCCGCTCCGAAGAAGTTATAAATAATCATGCAGGTCACATACGAACATGCATCCTATATGTAAACGAAAGTATTAAATCCTATATGTAAAAGTTTTTGAACGCACCATAAAGTGACATTTGGTTGACGATTTAGGTTATCAACCATTCATAGCCAAAGCTCAATAAATGAAAAAAAAAACTAATATTAATTATCAACATTTGTTATTGTTTGTTTAAAAATGTTTAGTTTCTATCCTAGAATCAGCTGAGTGCTAAAAAAGTGTTCCGTTCAAACCGTACTTTACAAGCGACATTTGACAGATGGAGGTCATTGGCTTTCCTATTCTTATTTGGAATGGCATTATAGATCCCATTTCTGTTTACGGACTGGATAGAGGGCTTAACCATTAACAAATAAAAAACAGCATGGTGAAAGTATTTGTTTTTTATGTTGATCGGACGCAGTATGTGTTTTTGTTTCATTTTCAGTCTGACCTCGGAGATAATTATTTCTTAAATAAATAAATATAGGTATAATTTGTATAATCCTTGAAAAATAAAAATAAATAACTATCATTGCTTTTTCTTCTTTCCAATATGATATTTTTATATCACTCGTTTAAAAAAAATATTTATCTGAATATTAGGCGCATTACGTTATTTTTTCGTTATCTTTTGCATAAATGACGATTTTATTATATATAGGATATGTAGTTAATCAATGTTGATAATTCCGCACTGAAAAAGGAAAAACCAGTATTATCGAAACAAAACTCTATCTATCTTTATTTCTAATGACGCCATTCCGCAATATTCATCATTTATCTTTATTTCTTTAATGCTTCTCCCACTCCTGCGCGAGGCTTTTGTACTAAAATGTGCTAAAATTAGCGTTCGAAAGGACATTGCTCGTTCCCCATACATCGAATGCCCTAGAACGCCCAGCAATGAGAAAATGCTAGTTGTGTTCGGAATCATTCATAAACTCTACTTAGGCATTTGTTGAGATACGGACAACTTGAGGAACCGTGCCCTACTACAGAATGTATTAGATTTTGAGGTTATAATTATTATACTTAAACTTAAAAGATGTACACTTTATATATTCTGAATAGATTCAGTATTTACCTCTATGTAAGCACTGAAATAATATGCATTAAATGAACATAAAATGCAATTAATAATAAAAATAATAAATGCTTATATTCATATTGATTTATGAGTGTTGGCAGTTGGCACCTATGATACCTATACCTACCTGTAGTAATAATAGATTTATTTTCAAATGAAATGTTCAAAGTCTTTCCATTTACTTGTTTCAATATTTTACTATCGGTAATTAGGTATGTATCTGGTTATAATTTCATAAAAATAAACAGATATTACATGGGATGGGAGTATAAACTAATTTTACATAATTTCAGAAATAATCTTTTTATAAATATAATATAAATACTAGTAATAAGTATTATTAACTAAGGTACCTAGTTCTATTTTTATGTTGATAAATACCTATGGTCGCCTATATTGCATATTTTAATAAGGTAAACAATCTTGGCACAACTTTTTAACAGAATCACCCATTTAATAATAAAATATTAACCAAGCCAATAAACTATTAAAATAAATCGTTATTATAGACTGAAACCTATTGAATCCAGTTATCAGTTGATTTTTAATGCTGTATTTTCAATAAAAAGGAGTGCTTAGATTGTTTACCAAATAGGACAAGTTGATGAACAGACTGTAGTATCTAGTAACAGAACTTTTATTTTTTATTTCTTTAAACAGATTGTCCGTTTACTATGATTTATTGCTAATAATTTAAAAGCATAATAGAAAAATAATAGTGAAGGACATTCTTTTGGGCATGCTAGGGCCGATTTCGTCGATGTCCTTTGAATTAGTTCCATCGTTAGCACCCTCCAATAGCTGCACATACTTTATCGTCTCCCACAACCACTTTTATGCCTGTCAAAAATCGTCAATCGAGCTAGTGTCTTTATAGACATAGTGCTTTTATAGACATGCAGCCGGATAATCCTTTAAGCCAGATTTACATTGATACAGTAGCTAGCGCCAGTTTTAGGCGCCTAAAAACTGTGCCAATAACTGGACTGGATTGTATCATTTACATTTTTGCCAGCAGTTGCATTTGAGGTTTTGTGGTGACTAAACGTTCGGGGAAAAATGAACAATGATTTTATTTTCGCTTTCACTTCTTTAATAAGGAAGTAAGGAAAGGTTGACTACCTTTCCATATTCATTAAAGTGCAATTATTTTGTAGGGCGATTATTCGCATCAGTTTATTTCTATAATTCTGCGAATGAATGTCCCATAAACACTCCTCATTTCTTTATAAATGTATAAATTGTAATGTGTTATCATCACCCCACTTTCGAGACATTTTCTTGTCGAAAGTTTCAGCAAATCAATAACACGTGGTGACATTAAGCGGCGGCGCCAGCGACTGGCGTGAACGTGTTTTAAAAGATCCAGTGACGCTGGCAAGGGGTGCGGGAGATGCGGGGTGTGGGCACTGGCACGAAAAGTAGGCCTTCGTTCTACTCCATGCCAGCGCTGGCGCCAGCGCGGGACTGGCGCCAGCTACTGTATCAATGTAAATCTGACTTTACGATAGAACTAATTCAAATTTCTTACTCTAATTTTAGCGAATTTAATACCGAACTCACCCAAAGCTTCGTCACATAGGGTTTAGGAGAAACACCAGGTTCACATACGAATTTATCATCTTAGACTTAAGGCTTCGTCAAACAGAAAGCGTTATAGCGTAGCGTTTTAACGTCGCGCTCTTTTAATGTCACACAAATTGTCTAGATTAGCCCAACGCTCCTTAAAGTCATTCGCCAAAGGGTAGTGCAGATCGATAGCAGAGTGTGAAAAGTTTATTCGTTATGGAGTTGTCGAGTGTACCTATACACGCTGATATATGTATATCTGCCACCGTTAGCTAGAACTATCTCTATCCGTGCCACATTACTAAAAGGACGTTATTAGTATTCAATCAGCTAAGCTACAAGTGCTTACATATAGTCGCGAGTAATGTGTAATGTATTTAGGTAATGAAGTATGCATGTGCCACAGTACACTTTGTGATTTATGTTCTGGTTGGTACTAGCAACTTATTCTGCGTTAAGAAATTATATTGTTTTTTTTAATTATTTTTTGAATTACTTTAAAGCAAAGGATAATAGGTCTATACATCCATTCAACTCACGAAAATCTTTTATATGTCTTTTTTGTGTCACTAAACTCAGGTCACACTAAATACAGGTCCATGACACCATGTCGCATCAGCTAATGCTGAGGCAGGGTTTGCCTAACCTTTAGCCTTTAGATTTTTTAAATTTGTATTTGTAAATGAGGGTTAATAAAAACGTGTTTTTTTTGTTTCTTTCTTTTATTATTTCACACATTTTTATTTTGGGTAACGGTAGCATATGTGCTTCTCATAGCATAGTCTAATACCAAAATTCAGCCTTAAACCGATTCCATCAGATTGAGCAGGAAAACCTAACAGATAGAAAAGTTTTTCTATAATAAGTAACTAACTATGCTGGACTTAATGAGAAAGAAATATGACTGGCTCAACTGCTTAATTTACTGCACCCGTTTTATAAGACGTTTTTTTGGATTAAAAATCAGCTAAAACAAAAGGTTATTTATACATACAGAGGGTGACTCATAAATTTCCCGATTCATGTATCTTATCTAATAGATATACATTATTACGATTATGTATATTTTTTTATCGTATTGAATAATTTTGTATTAAAATAATTGCTATTCAAGCTGAAAATTGAAATCTTCGACCTAATTTTACTGTAATAATCTCAAGATACTTTTATTTTATCAAAGCATCATAGATAGTGATATAATGATACAGATAATTCAAAATTTAATATCGTTTATTCAGTGTACGTTGTTACAAGCACTTGTGAATGTCGAAAAGCTACGCCATCGGTTCGCAAATCTACGGCGGGAGACCTTGTAGGGAGGGCTGTTTTTCTCCCTGTTTTATATACAGAGTCGTCAAATTGGAAAATGGATTCAATATGAGATAACTCATGAACTCACCTTCCATTACAAATTATATTAATTTCATACTAATATAATTTAATATGAATTTGATACAAAGCACGGGAAAGGCCAAGCATAACGATTAAATAGGTAAAAAATATCAGAACCCGCCGATTTTGATTGACTGCATTCAACTGTAAAATTCAAAAACACAGGGGAACCTTTAAACTTATGGAAATATCAGAAAATCTTCATGAAAACCATTTGGTGTGTAGTTCGTTTTTAAAAAATCCATAGGAACTTAATATTTTTCTGGGTTAAAAAGCATATCCTATGTGCTCAATGTAAGTAAAACTTATAGTACATTAAAATTTGCTCAGGCGTTTTTGCATAACTAAACAAGAACTCTGGACATCGTTCGCGACTTATTTTTGCGCATGAAATTGCGCAGAAAATTTATGGAAACTTTACTTACAAGTCTACTCTACAGGGGGCGCTGCAGGTGTGTTTCAGGATCAAATCAAATTCTTTATTTGTGATATACGGGTGAAAAGTTACATGGGTTTTTAAATTGTTTTGTTGATGGTAGTAAATTGTATACAGCTTCATATGGCATACATATCTAATTTCTGCACAACAATTCAAGACAATGTTCATTGTTATTATTATCAAATAATTCGTCCACTGTCAAGATAACCTAAATTCACAAAAATGTCAAACAATATTCCGAATTAATACGAGGCCTCGTTATACTCGTATTAGTATCGGTCTGCCCCCTAGCCTATATCAGATCGCGGTACTTATTACCGCGATATGGTATATAACGCGATTTTATCTCACTCAATTGTCAAATTGTTAAGGAGTTTGACAGTTAAACGCGATAAAAACGTGATATTATGTAAATTCTGTCCCCGTAGCATGAGCATCACAATTTACATTATATGACGTTTTTTATCGCGTCAAACTGTCAAACTCTTTAGTAATTTGACTAGTGCACGCGATAAAATCACGTCTCATATAACATATCGCGGTGTTCATGCTAGAATACTATGCTTTGCCTTACTCTAGGTACCTCTTTTTACCTACATCGTCCAGCATTAAAACGTCCTCTGGTTTCCAGCTCGCGGGCCTGGCTCTCATCGGTGTCGGCATCGCAGTGCTAGTCCAGATATCGGGGATAGACGCTCTCCCCAGCGGACTCAACGCCATCCCCATCTCGGTGATAGTCCTCGGCTCCATCATCTTCTGCATCGCGTTCTTCGGCTGCTGCGGAGCCATTAGGGAGTCCCAATGTCTACTAACCATGGTAAGTGTTATGAAAATTGCACGATTCGCAGTCGCGGCACGAAACTAATAAATAAAATAAATAAATAAATATTTCCAACACTCACACAAATTAGCCTAGCCCCAAAGTAAGCACTATAAAAGGCTTGTGTTATGGGATACTAAGGTAACGGATAGAATACACATGCTTTACATATATAAGTATATTTATATAGAAATACATATTTAAACATCCATGACTGGAGTACAAATGCTCGTGTTCATCACACAAATATCTGCCCCCACCGGGATTCGAACCCGAGACCTCTCGAGTCGGCGACGCCATGAAACCCGGCGTACAAAGCACTTGGCCACGGAGGTCGTCAAATATAATATATCTAACTAATTCTATCCGTACATTAAAAAACGTTAATCTATGTTACAGTATTTCATCTGCATGGCGATCCTGGCGGCTGGCAAGATATATCTGGCTACAGTGATCTTCAATGGACTGCGGACTCTCGACAGCATCGTTACTGGATGGGTGAACGGTGCGTTTGACCAATCTGGACGACCAGGCTTCCGAATCCTTGAAGTCGCCGTGAGTAATAATGATAATTTCTTATTTTTCACTATGTAGAAGGTGTATCGCTTAATTTATGTCTGCATCTTAATTTCGGACTCCGATGTCTCATATTTCAATACAGTCGAGGTTTGTGTAAATGATATCTTGATGTTGCGTTACTAAATTCTATAATCACTGCCGGATTTAGGGGAGGGCAACCGGGCGAAGGCCCCGGGGCCTCCACAAACGGGGGCCCCCACAATAGAGACTTGGGGAAAAAAATCTTTCAAATTCCAACTAGTAAACACTAGTAAACATCTTTTCCTTTGATATTTTTTTTTTGCCGTTTTACCTTTACCTACAGCCTACAGTACTTTGTACATCTAATATACATGATTATTTGATTATATTAATCTTAAATAACAGAAATCATTGATCTATATTTGTTCACTCCAATCAGGCAATCAGTGAAATATCAAAATCTCAAATGGTCCTGATAAGCACTTCCAATTCACTACCCATCTTGAGGGAGTACCCCAATCGCTTAATGCTAGCCATACACACTACGAGAATCGTTACGATCAGACTGTACAGTTCGAACGGAACAGTTTATCGGACGTGGCGTACGTATAGAAAACTGTGCAGTTTTATAACATACACGCTACGATTTATCGGTACCGTTCGAACTGTACAGTCTGATCGTAACGATTTCTCGTAGTGTGTATGGCCGGTATAATGGCTGAGTGGGGTGGTACTTGCCCGCAGAGCCGAATTTAAGGCAGGGCAGGCGGGGCTGTGGCCCAGGGGCCTCCACAACAGCTTAAGAAATAACAACATTTTGATGGGTTAACACGAATAAAAATCCTAAGTGGCCCGGGGCCTCCACAACCCTAAATCCGGCCCTGTCTATAATGGGAAGTGTAGATAAAAAAGGTTTTATCTTACGTGTTTTGAATCAGCTTTTTTATATTAAGGTAATACTAGGCGAGTGACTACCTACCTGTTAAGTGATTGTAAAGTCCAGGCGCGAAGATACCTGGTACAGGAGTTATGAACTGCCACACCAACCATCCTCACCTTGCCGGCACGCACAAATGCAATGCAATGCAAAATTCTACACGCCTCTTTTATGGACCCAAGATTGTAAGAAGGTGTGCCCTACACGTGCGTGGGCAAAGAATTTCTCGGAATAGAAATTATTTTCCAAATATCTTTGTTCGTGTAAGAATCGTTATCACAGTAGGGCCACGGTAATATTAAAGAGATAATATTACAGTGGTATTATTATTATATAGATAATATTACCGCGGTAATATTGTTATATAGATAATATTACCGTGGTAAGGCGGTGGTAATGTAACCCAGCGCGTGGCTCTCCGAAGGCAAAAGGAAGGTGTGATAAAGGAAAATAATCCTGAAGAACACTCGCCGTAGTATAGTAGATAGAATGCACTAAATGATGCCACATCGCGGCGTAATTGTAGAGACTCGAGTTTGTTAGTTACCTGTCAAGGACGTATAAAAAAAGGCGGACAGAGTTTCGGCTAAGACAATACTGAGGCACCGTAATGGCGGCGGCTATTGATGAGTGAGTGAATTGTAGGGTTGCTAGGTTAGCCAATTTTTACCAATAAAACACAGTAAAAACATGAAAATATTTTGATTGTTCAAAATTTTACTTTTTGCCTGACTGCGGAGGATAAGGTTTTTCGAGCGTATGTATTCATGTATGTATGTATGTCCAATAATTTGGCACGCCCTACAGCCTGAACGTCTTGACAGATTTTGACATGCGAGGTGTCATTTGATTTGTCGTGATTGTGTGTCGGTATATAAAAATTTCAAAAAATCAAAATAACAGATTTTATGCGCCAAAATGAAACATTTTGAAAAAAAGTATAAGTATTTTTATAACCCGTCAAGCGAGGTATCAGTGAAGGGTTTTAAAATAATATTTAGAAAATATACAACTCGTGTAATTAAAAAATAATGAAATTAAAATGTCGAAAATAAAAAAAAATGTACTAAAAAGAAAAAAACAAGTCCAGTAGTCTAGAATTCTGTTTAATAAGGAACAAAGTTACTTTAACAGTTGGGACTCATTAGAAATTCTAGAATGTATCGAATTTTCTCAATATTGGGTAAATCAACTAAATATAGATGGCCTGGCCTACATTCTCTTTCATATTTCTTAAAATAAACGAACACCCACACCCATTGAGTACTGTTTGTAATTGAGGAGTTCCATTGTTTTCCTCCGAAAGTACTCTTCAGATCTCCAGTAAATTAATATGCAGCCATCTCGCTAGTAAACTGATTAAAACAAAAAAAGAATCATCATAAACGGTCCACGAATCTCGGAGATCTGCGCGAACAACAATAAAAAAAAAACAAATATGACGCATTGCGAACCTCTTTCTTTTCGAAATTGGTTAAAAATTTTAATCAACCTTTTGAGGTAATGCATACGTAATAACACGCCGGAGTCCTTCAGTTGTATATAAGTCTTGAGCTTCAAAATGAAGACTAAAAATGACACTACTACATATTTGTTTGGAAATCATTCATTTTCCAGTAATTTATCCATACTACATTTTCTTTAGGAAATCTGATAAAAAAGAATAATAATTAATAGATTGAAGTTAATGTCAACCCAATTTCCCATATTTTAGGTAATATGGTTATATGAACATTGGCAACACTGGGCTTTAGACTAATCATTTTGTCCTTAGAATGAAAATTGATTTCGATTTCTAAAAACTGGAAAAAAGTGATTAAATAATTCATTTGCCTATGAAACGTGATTCCTGGATTTTTTTTCTTTCTGTCACTACGGATTTTACACCATTTTACCACGCAAGACATCTTGTATAACTTATTTTTGTCTCCACGTAACGTGCCGGCTGCTTTGACGTTTGCACGCGTAATGGCTGACTATGGTGTGAATGTGTGTGTGCCGGCTTGTACGTATAGCGACCTGGCCGACTCTGAGCGACACAGTTTGTTGTTTACCGGGACTCTGTCCGCCTTTTTTTATACGTCCATGGTTACCTGTATTATGCGATTCAAATAAGCAACATTAAGTTTTTAAGTCACTTTAAGTTGCGTTCAGGAACTCGATTTAAAACTTTCGTTTACATATAGGATGCATGTACGTATGTGACTTAGTAATAGTGCATGATTATTCATAACTACTCCGGCGGTAATGCAAATATGAGTGGAATTGAAGAGCTTAATTCTGATTAATGTTTTTTCTCACAGTCTTAATAAATTATTATTATTAAATTTTATTACAAAAAATCTGATGTTATTTCTCATTTAATCTTAGTAAATAAATTTTAATAAATAAAAAATTTTTTTGCTCATTCTACCTGTTTCGTTCGAATTGACAGCTATGACGTCACAATATGGCGTCCAGTCGGTCCCATTCTTAGTTGAATCGCATTATACATTGTTAGGAGCTCGATGGCGCAGGTGGCTAGCGCGTTCGGCTGCGATCGTTGGAGTTAAGCAACTTTAGCAGTGGTCGGTCAATGGATGGGTGACCAAAAATTGACTATCTCGAGCTCCTCCGTGCTCCGGAAGGCACGTTAAGGAGTTGGTCCCGGCTGCATTTGCAGTCGTTAGCACCCACCAATTAGAACTGGGCCCGCGTGGTGGGTCATGGCCCAATCTCCCTATTCCATCCATAGGGAAGGCCTGTGCCTCAGCAGTGGGGACATTAATAGGCTGATGATGATGATGATACATTGTTAACTTTTGTAATCCTTAGTTTTAACGTTTTCAGTTCCGTTGCTGCGGTAATACTGGGCCGGGCGCGTACGCACCAGACGTGCTTGTGCCGTCGAGTTGCTGCCCCGACCCGGCGGCAGATTCGGATACCTGCCCCGTCGACGACGCCTTCGAGAGAGGCTGCACTCAGGCGGTGTCCGAATACTTCGAGACATTCGGGGAAGCTATCGGAGGGGTGCTCATCACCGTCATCATCATTGAGGTGAGAGTTTGACGTTTAAGCTGCGTCACAGGAAAAGCAACAAACAACAAGTGTAAATTTACGATTTTTTTTGGAGTTTACTCCTTAAGAATCGATTTGCATATATAAGGGGCCCGGTATGAGAAAAATGTGAGGAGTAAAATCTATCGATGAATGACATTAATGACTTCGTTACGTTTTTGTGCGCAACCTCATCTGCGCACCTTTCACTTTTAGTCATGGCAACGGATAAAAAACATTAAGTTGTCACAAATGTCAATAAAATAAATAAACTAAAAATAGATAAAATCGGAGCAAAATTAATGAAAACAAATAAATAACAGAATATAGAGAAATGCCGGTAAGTGTCCAGCACTCTGGAATAGTGATTTTCAGTTCAGGAATTATAATACATATACAAAATGATGACTAGTGTGTGATATTTTTGAAATTGTGTGTTTCCAGAAATACATAATAAAATATATGATGAATATCGCTGATGTTAGATGATAAAATGTGTGACATGGAACCTATGATAGTCGAAACCATGGGACGATTCCTGAGGTATCTCTACTTGTAACCGACTTCTTCGGACTTGATTTTGTTTTGTGTCTGTTCAAAGACAATCGTTTTTAGAGTGTAAACTCCGGTCGTGCGTCGGAGCTGACACACACAATTTTTTTTCTGGTAAAATTTTCTTTCGATATAAACATCTAGCAGTTAAATGCTTAAAAAAAGTGAAGAATAGTTTGTTTCTTAGGTTTTCACGCACATCACTCATTAAATAAAACTAGTTTTTACGGGTTAATGCAGGAAATTTTAGCCTGTAAAGGCTACGAAACGTCAATAAATAAATAAAATTTCGTGCATTAACCCGTAAAAACTAGTTTTATTGAAGAATAGTTATTTATGCAATTGTTGTATTATGAGAGGTATTAAAACGTGAATGTTTTAATACCTAATTATAAACAGTTGTAAATAAGACTTTATCTACACCCATGATATGAATCCTCTATAAAAGGTTCTGACATCACACCACATGACACAATTCATGAAAAGTTTCGGCGCTGTGGTAGTAAAGCGCGCTAGATGACAATGTTATTTTTTTGAAATTCATAATACCACGCATCGAGCAGTGAGAATAGTGACTGTCTGATGAGAAAGCCCTTGGCGCGGAAGGGATTTAAAAAGCGAAGGAGTGTTATTATGAAATTTATTAAAAAAAACATTATAACGGGTGTTACATTGTTTTTTTTAAGTTATGACTAAAAAAGCTAATTTTTATTTAGAATCTTTAATAGCGGTTTTGAAGCACGGGTGTAAATGAAATAGTTTATAAACTATGCCAAATTTAGACTACTCAGGCGCTCTCTGATTACTTCGCGATATCCTACTGTTCCAATGAATATTAAAAACTATAAAAGGTGCCCCAGGAATTTCTCGAAGTCTCTACCTCACCCTAACGAAGTCGAGCACAAAATTTTCCTATCTTTATTTTTTTATCTTATATGTATATAAAATTCTCGTGTCACAGTGTTAGTTACCATCCTCCTCCGAAACGGCTTGACCAATTTTTATGAAATTTTACAAGCATATTCCATGGGTCTGAGAATCGGCTACTATCTATTTTTCATATCCTTAAGTGATAAGGGTTGTCCACCTGTAACGTAGTGTTCTGAAACCTAGAATGCGCCTACGCGCCAAAATTCAAACTGTTGGGTATTGTAACATAGTGTTCTCATATGGGTTAGGAGAAATGTTATCCCAGAAAATTGATAGAACACTATGTTACACACCCTTAATTTTTTTTGGACAATATTTATTTATTTATTATGTGGTTTTAAAAAATACATACAACCCTAAATTTTCACTCTTCTACCACCTGCTCCTATTTTTATGGCGGTACGAAGTTCGCTGGTTCAGCTTGTAATTTTAAAATTATTTACTCAGTCACTTTTCTGTTTCTTTTCAGTTGGTAGCGATGCTGTTCGGCATGTTCTTGTGTTGGTCTGTTAGAAGCAACCGGCGATAGACGATAGAACATCGATGGACAAGTTTAAGAAGCTCACGAACCACGGAATCTTACAGCCTCTTTATTTAGTGTAATTAAAAAAAATGGGCAAGTGCAAATCGAACTCTCGCGATATAAGGGTTTCTTACCATATTATCTATACAACATTATACACTTAATTACAATATTGGCAAATAAATACAACTTAGTATTCTTTGAATATTTCAAGCGTGTACTGTTACTGTTGCCGTTAATAATATAAATATAGAGAATAATTAACTAGAAAAAAATCCACGCGGACCAGGCAACAGACTTGAGTGGATTTTTTTCTAGTAAAATTCTCTTTAGATTTAGACATCTATCAGTTAAGTGCTTAAAATTATATATTGGATATATATATATATATATATATATATAGTAAAAAACTGTAAAAAATCATGTTCGCTTTATAAGATTATACAGCGAACATGATTTTTTACAGTTATTTAAAAATATTTTGATTCTGTTTTTAGTATTTGTTGTTATAGCGAAATACATCATGTGTAAGAATTTCAACTGTCTAGCTAGCAATCACCGTTCGTTCGATCCAGCTTGGTGACAGACAGACAGACAAACGGATATTAGAGTCTGGAAAAGAAAAAAGCAAAGGATGTCATTCAATTGTTTATGGTGGTATCAACCTTGAGGCGTTTAAAACCAAGGAAATTTTTAACGATCATACGACAATTGTCGGCCGATTTTCAATTATATTATATATCTTGCTGTGGGTATGGAGTTGAATGGGTGACCACGAACTTATTATGTAGCTCCTCCGTGCTTCGGAAGATACGTTAAGCCGTTGGTCCTCGTCTGCAGTCTTTAGCACCCACCAATCCTCACTGGGCCCACATGGTGGGTCACGGCTTAAAAGGCTTCTACACGTGTTCTTGGTCGGGTCAACCAATTTTTGTATTCATTCACACGGTCGGTGGTTGACTCAACTTGTCAGGTCCTATCTGGTATGTATTTGAAGCGATGGCATCCTTGCCTTCCAAAGCAACAGAAGGTGGGTTTGGCAATAACTTATTTATGCTTAAGTGAAGAAGAAAAGAGAGAACGGAAAGTAAATGGATGAAACAGTGGCTCAAAGAGCGAATTACTACGAACCACTTTAATATTTTACGGATTCTTGATTTTTTTTTATGTTATATATATATATATATATATATATATATATATATATTATTTTATGCATACGAGCAGATGGCTCACCTGATGGTAAGTGATCACCGCCGCCCATGGACACTTGCAACACCAGGAGTATCACAAATGCGATGCCGGCCTTTAAAGAAGAAGTACGCTCTTTTTTTGAAGGTTTTTGGGTCATATCGGTCCGGAAACACTGCTGGCGACAACATATTCCACAGTTTTGTCGTACGTGGTAAAAAATTTCGACAAAAACGCACGGTTGTGGATAGCCACGCATCAGAATGATGGGGATGAAATTATTGTCGCGATGTACGATGGCGAAATGCAGCAGCTGGAATTAATCCGAACAATTCCTCAGAACACTCCCCGTGATAAATGCGATAGAAGATGCAGAGCGAAGCTACATCCCTACGCAAAGCCAAAGGATCAAGCTGATCGGAGAGGTCCTGGTCGTCGACGATTCCAGCCGCTCGGCGCTGGATGCGATCCAAAGGGAGAAGCTGGTACTGGGGTGCCCCCGCCCAAAGATGAGAGCAGTACTCCATGTGAGGCCGAACCTGTGCCTTATAAAGCTGCAGTCGGTGGGCCGGTGTGAAGTACATTTTCGATCTATTGAGCACACCAAGCTTCTTACAGGCCAATTCTGATGACTTTCTGATTTTTCTAAGAATGGATCAAGACAGTTTTAATGATATACTTGAAATGGTGCGTCCAATGATTACTAAGAAAAATACAGTTGCGTGCGTCAGACTGTGTCTGCTGAAGAACGGTTAATAGCTATATTAAGATTTCTGGCTACGGGAAGAAGTTATAAAGATCTTACATTCAGTACAGTTACATCATTTCAATTGCTTTCCACAATTATACCTAAAACAAGTTCCCATGCTTCAGTTTTTTGTTTCTCATCTTTGTATAAATCGGATCCAATGTCCCAAAGACATGGCAAATCAATATTTAAAGATATCAATTCGGTCAGAACCTCTCGTTCGTGGCGTTCGTTTTGCGAATCCATTGCAACACGTGATGACATGCGCCCGTGACGACTGACAAGCGCAAACTGAAGTGGTCGTGTCGGCCGACAGCGTTCCAGACAGTCGGAACATAGTCGGGACCGACCACGAACGCAGCCTGTCGCGAGAGATGCGCTTGCGACCAAGGCCGTTGACATCAACCAAATATTGGTCGGGTCAACCGTTTTCTACACTGTCCATTTTTATATCAACCATGTAGAAGGCCTTTTAATCTCCCTATTCTCGTCGCTACGACAGATTTTACTAATCAACTGCATGTTTGCTAATTAACTTTTACCAAAACCGAATCTATTTCCAAATGTTTCAAGAGTAACTATGCCGTTATATGTATTGTAAGGAAAACTTATTTAACGTATCAAAATGATAATTATGACTTCAGTAGGTACTGAATTTCTGTTCTGTTTATTCTATTCTTAGCAGTACCTGTCATAACAGTATGGTAGGTATATTGCCGGCGTTAAGTTTTAGAAAATGTAAAGACTGATGTTTTTTTCTATAGCCAGGTAGGCAAATGACTCTGCCCCACCTGATGTTGAGTGGTGATAAAGTCCAAACGCGAAGATAGCTGGTACAGCTATTATAAACTGCCACACCAGACACCCTCACCTTGCCGGCCTTGAAAAATGCTTCTTCACGCCTCTCTTAAAGGACCTCAGATTATAGGAAGGAGGGAACACGTAACTTTTGTATTAGCAAACAGTGCCTGATTGAAAGTTCCGACCGCCCCCTTGGTCCTTGCACCCTAGGCTCTAGCCTATTAGCCTGCGGGTAAATCATAATCATTTAGTAGAAAAAAACCGTTTAATGTATACTAGACTATATAAGTATACTAGCTGACTCGGCGAACTTCGTACCGCCCAAAAGTAATAATTTGCAATAAATTAAAATTGCGACTATAATTTGAGATTTAAACTATCCTATCTCTCAAGTTGGATCGAACTGCACATGGTGTGCGAATTTTATTATAATCGGTTCAGTGGTTTAGGAGTCCATTGAGGACAAACATTGTGACACGAGATTTATATATATTAAGATTATGTTTATCATGATGTCTCTACATAATAAAGGAAGTCTGTTAACCCCGTTATGAATTAATGTAATTGTATATTATCGTTATGTCATTGATGTATACTAACTTACTATTTTTAAGTTTTTAATAAATGGAAAAGCGTTTTTATGCCAATCGATTGATCGTTTTATTTAATTCGTACATTATCTCATTTATTCAGAATCTATAGAGGTATACTTTTTCTATGTATCTACCATACTACTTTCAGTCAGAGTTTCAGAGTTGAACACTTTCAGGTAATAAAACTTTAGTAGAAAAAAACACTTGATAAAAATCTAACATCTTATGCTTTGATGAATACAATAACAATGAACTCCAATATTAATAAAAATATCAGAATGCTATAAAAATATAAATAATAGTTTAGCATGAAAGTTCATGATATCGCTGAAGAGTATCTTTGTTGGTGGTCACACCATGAAATTCATAGGTAATATAAATTCATATCAGGGTAATATATACACTAACTTATTAAAAGAAATTACTTTTTTGTTCTCAGTTTAAGTTCCTTTTCAATCAAAATAGAAACAAGATAGGTTTATAGAACTAAATAAAATGTCAATTTATTTATGATGAATTTTTATGTGATTCTGCGTCAATGCATCATAAGACCCGTTACAATAATAATTCAAAAGATTACCTTAAAAAATGTTCAAAAAAATATTAAAAAATATATTGTTGTGGTCCAACGCGGCTGGAATCGTGAGTATATCATATTCAATTAGATTTATATTATAATAAAAAATACTAACTATGTACTGGCAGACCCAGTTTTACTCAACAGTTGATTAAGGATCCTCAGTCCATATCTATGCCTGCTACATTCCAAAACACATTACTTACGTTAACTAATTAACTTTATATAAAAAAGAACTTGATATGGTTTAAACTGTTCGGTTTAAAATGTTGAAGGTCCGTTTCTGTATTATAATAAAGTTAACATGAATTAATATTGGCAAAAGTTACATAAATTAATGTAACATATTTGTTTCTGCATCGTCAGAATACTGATTTTTTATTTAATTTTGTCGAGCTAACTTTGCCGGTTCTTCTACCTACCTACTTTATTAACTAATAAATTCATACATAGACAATAATTTTTTTAAAATCTTCCAATAAAATAACCGAACGCTCAATAAAAGTCTTTCGAAGGTAGCTCGACAAAATTAAATAAAAAATCAGTATTCTGACGATGCAGATCTGAAAAGGCTGAGAAACGTCAATAAATAAATAAAGTTTCGTGTATTAACGGGTTATGTTAAAACTAGTTTTATTTAACAATGCAACATAATCTAATATAAGGCTGTGAATTTGTTTTAACAGTTTTCCTTCACAGCTTAAAAAAATAACTTAACAATAGCAGTAAGGAAAAAATCATTGGGCGTATAAAGAGAGTTGTATTACGCTTCCAAATTTAATTGTGTTTCAACTTTGGCTTTGATTGTTACGTTACCCGTAGATGATCGGCGTTTGCGCCATAGTGTCTTACTTGGTGCTGGTAGCCATCAGGGGCTCCCTAAGACTGCCGTTTAACCTGGGCTTGCTGGACACCGCCCTGAATGCCCTGGTAATCGCGGGCTCTACCTTGATAGTCGTCAACCTGCTGGGCTTCTGCAGCATCATCATTAGAAACAAAACAGGGAAATGGCTGATGACATTGGTGAGGAATTTTAAAGTTCATAACATCATTATACTTATTATATTTTTACTTTAAGCATTTAACTGCTAGATGTTTAAATCTAAAGAAAAGTTTACTGGAAAAAAACCATGCAGTCCAGGCGGCAGACGAGACTCGAACCCGCACCCTCCGCTATCTGGGCGGGCGAATGCACTGACCAATTATGCTACCGCGACCCTATAACCCGTGTCGAAATTCTTCTAGTATTTCTAAGGCTGCAAGGCAGCACCATCTCTTGCATTGTAGGCAAGCCACAATGTCAATCGAAATACCTTTACATTTGAAAGAAGAAATAGCATTTGTAGTTTATTATATTCCTATTTTAAGCGTTACGAGATGTTTAAATCTACCACTATACCTATAAAAAAGAAGCCTTACGTCACGTCTGTCTGGCTTTATACTCACGAGAAGCAAGTAGTTAACAGGGAAATCATAAAATTAAAAAATCTTCATAGACTTGCTGTTTGTTCACGCCTTCTTAGCGAGATGGAATTAACTTTATAAACTCAGACTGAATTTTGATGGATTTATTAATTTAAAAAAAAATATGATGTCACAAGCGAAGTAAAAGATGAAATCATTAAAAGATAAGAAAAAATATCAAGCCAAATTAATGAGCACGGCGACATTGCTGTTGTGAGTTTGGTAGGCGTTAACAGATAGACTGATATGACAATTCTGTTAATAAAACATTTTTTTTTCAGTACACTGTTACAATCTCCATTACCACTATAATGCAAATCTACATACTGGTAATACTATTCGTGCATCGAAGTGCAAGAAACGAAGGAATCTTTAGCACTATTACCTCCGTCATGACACCTGTAAACACTACTTATGACGTCAGAAGATCCAATACGGACAATATCACTTCACCCTTGACTGCAACCCTTACTAAACCACTGACCTTCTATGAAAACCAAGCTGCATATAAATTAGATATAAACAAAACAAGAAACAGAAGAGACGTTGATATACCTGTAGATTCTATTATTAATGATGATCATAAAACTAATAATAGCAAATTCAAATATATCAAAAATATGTTAGAGGTTATACCTCTGTCTACTTACACGATCGTAGGTCAGTCAAAAAATAAACCAAGCAATTATACCCAATTCGATGGATACAACAAAACCAATGTATTTCTCTCGAGTAACGACAGCGTGCAATACTCAAACATAATATCTCACTATGTTAAAGAAAAAGTCGACAATGTTAATGGAATTGTTAAATCGACGGTCGTCGGCGCAAGAGATAATGTGAAAAAAAGTTTGACTGATATGGGTTCAAGCGTCCAAGGTAGCGTAAATATTGGATCATTCTGGATAAAAACTAATGAGAGAGACAACAATTTACTGAAACCCATTGTAAGTACCAAATCTAAAGCTATTAGAAACTACGATAATATTTGTTTAATTAATAATTGAGATTTAAAGAAACTTGAAAAATAACAAATCTCAGTTAATAGGGTCAATATAACCAGAATAACAAAAAAGTTATTAGCAAAAATGTTTTTAAAATTTAGTTTTTTGCTCGTCCTGTAGAGTAGAGTTTATGGCTTTTACTACCTTTGTACCCTAAGGTTGCGATATTATTTTGTTAAAATGTTCTGACAAAACAATTGACTCGCCAGTAAAAATTTCAGATCTGTCAATAAAAAATCTTAAGTTTCATCTATGCCCGATTTAGGGATGTCATTTTTTATGCGTGAGTGGTGTCAATTCTGGCAGGATTCTCTAAACTTAAAACTAAATTTAACATCAGTCTGTCCTTTTCATTTTGTATAGAGAATGACAAGGATACACTGTTGTCAAATTTAAGTTTAGCTTTAGATAATCACGCCAGAATCGACACCAATGTCATGCCATTTTTTATGTGTTCATTTGTGTGCATATTCCTCCCCCTGCCAAAAAGTGGCAGAATGATTTCAGTAGTATTTTGTCAGTATGGCTACTCCACGCTTAGCCGCGTCTTGCTCTGGCTATGTTGCTCTATGCTGGAATACAAATGCTCGTATTCATCATAAAACTATCTACCCCCAGCGGGATACGAACCCGGGACCTCTCGAGTAGGCGACACCATGAAACCCGGCGTACTAACCACTCGGCCACGGACGTCGTCAAACTATAATCTACTGCATGTGTGTTAATTTACTTTTATCAAAACCGATTCTATTTCCAAATGTTTCAAGAGTAACTATGCCGTTAAAAGTATTGTAAGGAAAACTTATTTAACGTATCATGTATATATGGTGGTCGTCGAATATGATTTTAGAGAAAAATACAATCCTGTTAATGGAACAATATTCTTTGTTGGAATTGGAACCTGTATCGCCGTTTTACGCCAACTTTCGCACTATAACACTCACGCAGGAAAAATCTTCTTCTTCTTTTGTCTGTAACTCGAATCGCTATGGGTGTGATGTCTGAACGTCGTACTTAATAGAAAAATTGTGTGTGTCAGCTCCGACGCACGACCGGAGTTTATACTCTAAAAACGATTGTCTTTGAACAGACACAAAACAAAATCAAGTCCGAAGAAGTCGGTTACAAGTAGAGATACCTCAGGAATCGTCCCATGGTTTCGACTATCATAGGTTCCATGTCACACATTTTATCATCTAACATCAGCGATATTCATCATATATTTTATTATGTATTTCTGGAAACACACAATTTCAAAAATATCACACACTAGTCATCATTTTGTATATGTATTATAATTCCTGAACTGAAAATCACTATTCCAGAGTGCTGGACACTTACCGGCATTTCTCTATATTCTGTTATTTATTTGTTTTCATTAATTTTGCTCCGATTTTATCTATTTTTAGTTTATTTATTTTATTGACATTTGTGACAACTTAATGTTTTTTATCCGTTGCCATGGCTAAAAGTGAAAGGTGCGCAGATGAGGTTGCGCACAAAAACGTAACGAGGTCATAAATGTCATTCATCGATAGATTTTACTCCTCACATTTTTCTCATACCGGGCCCCTTATGCAAATCGATTCTTAAGGAGTAAACTCCAAAATTAAAACAAGGTAAAATAAATAAGTGTTGTGTTTTCCAGCTAGGAGGATTGAGCAAGCCCATTTTGTACCTCAGCAAAAGTTCTTCGGTTCTAGCGTGTTTCGTGATAATTAACGTAGTGAACGTAAGTTATTATTTTGAAAATATAAGCAAAAGTAAATAATGTTCGCTTTAAAACAGTGAAGAAAAATACTGTTCCATTGTTTTCTCACTTAATAAGTTAATTCATATTTTCAAATTCAATTCCTCGTGTTAAGTTAAAATTATGATGCTGTCTACCATAAGTAAGTTTCAACAAGTAAATATGTAACACATTATTAATGTATCTAATTAATTGTATTGGTAGAGTCTGTGCGGAAAGAGAATGGGATTTAGATGGGAGGGCGCTGTAGTGCTTTTCTACCTATTTGTAAGGTTTTACCCCTTTTAAACATGATTAAATACAAAAAACCGCAAGAAATCACAACAACAAACAAATCCGTATCAATACAAAACTTTGACGTTTTACAGATTGCTGGGTTTGATTGCCAATAAAAGTCTTAATGTTAGTTCCGTTTTTCGCCTCGCCCATTCTCTTTCCGCACAGACTCTAGCTACATGATTTTATGTAAATGTTACTTCTGTTATTGCTGATAAGTTTCTTACGCACATTCTTCTGAATGGGTAGTAGGGAATAATATTGGTCGATTCAAATGAACTTTCTTTAAGTCAATTTGATTAAAGTATAATTTTATTCATTCATTCATTCAATAGTAGGATGTATGACGGTAACGGACATGTATATCAACTTAAATGTACATACTATTAATACTAATTTCTAAGCCCGCATAATCCCTGTGCCATGTCATGTTTAATATTGTTTTAAACTTTCATGGTCACTAACATTATAGCTATTAACAGGATTGTTACCATGTACCTTGTGCGATCTGATACTGTGAGTATTGTGTGTCGGGAACAAGTGCGAGTGAATAGTGAGAATGTGACCAGTGGTAGGGGTATCGAGCGCAGTAAAAGACGACGTCAGAGGGTAGACCGATATGTCTGCCATAAACATCTACCCGCAATAACTTCAATTACTCCGTGAATCCGTGATCATGGCGCTTGCAACAGTGCCGAAATATCGGAGACTCGTAAAAAATAAGGTACATGGTAACAATCCCGTTTAAAGCTATAATGTCATGTTAAAGTCTTAGTAACTTCAACTAATACTAGATCTGTGGTGCAACAAACACTTAGTCGGGACTAAATAATGATTATGTGTTAACCTGACAATGGGATAGATTTCGGCATGATTCTCTAAACTTAAAACTAAATTTAACATCAGTCTCTCCTTTTCATTCTGTGTAGAGAATAACAAGGATAGACTGTTTCAAATTTAAGTTTAGGTGTAGAGCTACATGTCAGGTCGCCACCATTTTCTTACATTTGTCATGTACGTGTTTCGTAGCAATATTTTCATGAGACGTATCATTCGATAAAAGTTTTTTTTGCAGGTATTGTACGTTGCGATGACAATATGCTTTTGCATTATGCAACATTATTATAAACGTCACAATGAGCTCACGAAATAGCTTCACAAACTCAAACAAAAGACTCGAAGAAGCAACATGCAGGCCGGCAGGCAACGTGAGGATGGCTGGTGTGGCAGGTAGAACTGCTGTACCAGCTATCTTCACATCTGGACTTAACCATCACTTAACATCAGGTGGTATGGAGTCATTTGTCGGACCTATCTATAAAAAAAAGAACTTAAATAAAGTACATTATTCCCTTTTAATCTGGAACTTTATTTTTATTTCAATAAATATTTGACGAACCTCGCTCACCAAGCGTATAAATGCTAAATAATTGTGCACTATTTCAACTTTACGACGTCAGAATCAGTATTTAATTTAATTTTGTAAAATTAAGAACAATAAAAAGACATTGTCGTAATAACCATCTTTTAGTGTTTCATTATACTTGAGGATGTAATGTTACTATCCCTACAAATAGCGAGCGGATACGAAGTGAAACACCGTAGAAGAAATACAATTCGTATACTGATAATAATTAACGAGATATTAACAATAATTGTATTGGAAAAGACGGAAGGACGAGTGACGTGGAGTTGTGTGCGAGGTGATTCGTAGCACACTGCGCTGCCGGCCAAGCGACTGGGAGCAGGTTCCAGACCGGTCCGCGTCTCCCGCATACCGCGCCCCGCGACATACGCGTTCGTGACGTAGCCGCTGTTAGTGATGAGGGCACGACGACGCGTAGTGATGTGCCACACCACCCCCCTGGGAGAATCAATACCCTGCGGAAAAATAATGAGGGAATTTAACATGTCGCCCCGAACGAGTAGTTTTGACAGGTTCGGGCTCAGGGCGATTTGTAGGATTATTTGGTGGTGCATTCTTCGCTTCCGTCAGAACGAATGCTGGTTTGGTTCTGTCTATTGAAACGGTAACCGGTCCTCTATTCAATTCAACAGTTACTGTTTTCTCTGTCCGTTTCAAAACTTTATGAGGACCACTATATGGAGCTTCCAAAGAACCACGTAAAGCATCCTTTCTGAGGAATACGTACTGTGCTGTTGGTAAGTCTTGGTGGACAAAAATGGTTTTCTGACCATGTCGCGATGCTGGCACTGGCTTCAAGCGTGACATATGAATGCGCAGATTAGACACAAAGTCTGATGGCTGAGGTAACTGGGAGTTATTAGAATGGAGGAACTCACCAGGAATCCGAAGAGGCTCACCATATACCATCTCAGCAACAGAGCATTGCATGTCGGACTTCCAAGCAGTACGCACTCCAAGGAGTACTGTAGGCAGCACGTCTGTCCATCGTGTAGTCTCGTGGGCCATTATCGCAGCTTTTAACGTCCGGTGAAAACGCTCCACCATTCCGTTCGCCTCTGGGTGGTAAGCTGTGGTATGACGTAGTCGAATTCCGCAAAGATCTGTCAAAGATTTGAATAAATGCGAATTAAATTGACGTCCTTGGTCAGTTGTCACAGTTTCCGGACACCCAAAGCGTGTTACCCAAGCATCATAGAAAGCTTTAGCTACGGATTCAGCTGTAATATTAACAAGTGGTATGACTTCTGGCCATCTGGTAAACCTATCCACAGCCGTAAGACAGTATCTAAAGTCATTGGACGGTGGGAGTGGACCTATTAAGTCAATGTGTATGTGACTAAATCGGTGGGCAGTTAATGGAAAGTCAGCTGTGGGAGAAGAGGTATGTCTCTGTACCTTAGATCTCTGGCATGATATGCAACTTCTTACCCAATCACGACAGTCTTTTTTCACAGAAGACCAAACAAATCGGTCGGTGATTAGTTTTGTAGTGGGCTGAACTCCGGGATGGCTCATGTTGTGAGCATTGTCAAAAATAAAACGGCGCAGCTCCTTCGGAATGTATGGACGGGGTCTCGACTGAGAAACGTCACAGTAAAGGGTAATATCCGTACCTGGTACTGGAACTTTCTGAAGTTTCAAGGAAGAAGAATTATTTTCCAATAGCTCACGAATTTCTGGATCGTTATGCTGCTTCTGTGCTATCGTTTCAAAATCAGGAGGGATAGATATAACCTCTACACGAGACAATGCATCAGCAGTTATATTTTCTTTGCCCGAAATGTGCTTAATGTCTGTGGTAAATTGGGAAATAAAATCCAAATAATTGAACTGCCTTGGGGAACATTTCCAATCTTTTTGCAGGAAAGCATAAGTAATAGGCTTGTGGTCTGTAAAAATTGTAAAGTGACGGCCTTCTACTAAATAGCGAAAATGCTTAACGCTCTCATATATTGCAAGCAATTCACGGTCATAAGCACTATACTGCTGCTGAGCTCTGTTTAATTTTTTTGAAAAGAAAGCTAACGGTTGCCAACTACCTTCTACTAGCTGTTGTACTACCGCGCCTAGTGCTACGTTAGAAGCGTCCGTTACAAGCGCAAGCGGTGCGTTATGCAAAGGATGTGCTAAAAGAGCTGACCTGGAGAGACTTGCCTTACACGTCTCAAATGCAGACAGCTGTTCTGGTGTCCAGGTCAACGGTTGAGAACTCTTGTTCTTTCCTCCAGCCAACATATTGTGTAGCGGTGCCTGATCTTCTGCAGCATGAGGAATAAAACGCCTATAAAAATTTAGCATTCCTAAGAAACGCAACAGGCCTCCCACAGTCTTGGGTGGGGGAAATTCCTGGATAGCTGCTACTTTCTCCTCCGTAGGCTTTGTACCCGATGCAGAGATAGAGTAACCAAGAAATGTTACCTTAGTTTGGCCAAAACTGCACTTAGCTTCGTTGACGAGGATCCCATATTCTTGTAGGCGGCTAAATACCTTCTCCAGGTGTTCCAGGTGCTCGGAATTATTTCTGGAAAATAGAATTATATCGTCTAAATACGAAAAGCAACAATCTAGATCTCGAAGAACCTCATCAATAAACCGTTGGAACGTTTGAGCTGCGTTCCTCAAACCAAACGACATAAACGGAAACTCGAACATTCCAAAGGGGGTAGTTATAGCCGTTTTGGGTATGTCGTCCTTGAAAACTGGTATGTGATGATAAGCTTTCACTAGGTCTATTTTTGAAAATATTGTGCAGCCAGCTAACCGATGTGAGTAATCCTGGATGTGAGGTATGGGATACCTATCTGGAATAGTTCTGGCATTGAGAGCTCGGTAATCGCCACATGGTCTCCAGCTGTCACCCTTCTTGGGTACTAAATGAAGAGCTGAAGCCCAGGGTGAGTCAGAACGTCGAGCTGTACCATCTCGAAGCATCTCCTCAAATTGTTCCTTGGCTATTTTCAAGCGATCTGGCGCCAAACGTCGAGGCCTGCAATAAACTGGGGGTCCAGGCGTAGTGCGAATATAGTGCACCGTATTATGCTTGACTTCGCGAAATACACCTGGTGGCTTTGTCAGCGATGGGAATCTAGCTAATAAAGTGTGGTACTCACTTTTACCCGCGATCGCCTTGATACTATGCAGCTGACAGGGTTTACTCGTAACAGCCGTTGAGAGGGTAGTTAGACTATCTAATAAACGACCATTCTTACAATCGACCAGCAATCCATAATGAGCGATGAAGTCCGCCCCTATGATAGGCTTGTCCACATCAGCTACTACGAAATTCCATGAAAAATCGCGGCGAAGTCCCAGGTTAAGACGCATCTTCATCAATCCGTAAGTACGGATGCTGGAACCGTTGGCTGCTGTGAGGCTGTAATCAGTAGGTGTTACATATGCACGTAAAAATCTACGAGGCAAAACACAAAGATCGGAGCCAGTGTCGATTAAATATTGAATTTTGCTTTCTTTGTCAGTAACAAATGGGCGACGGGTAGTTGCATGACAGTCGGCTGTCGCCATTACTGACCGTCTCGCGAGTTTTCCTTATAATTGCAAGGATGGATACATTTACTAGCCTTTTCAGCAAATTTGTAGTGGTACCAACACATACCCGACTTCCTAATCTGACCTGGTCCGGCGCTTCTAGATCTACTCCTTGACCTTGACCTACTAGACCGCCTCCGGAACGACTGACGACCATGCCCTGTATCTATATTCAATTGGGACAACTGGTGGCTTAACTCTGTCTTAATGCGTGACGAAATCATCTCCTCTAACCGTTGAAACATTCCTTCCATACTATTCGATGAAGTACTAGCAACTTGATTGGGGGTAGGAACAACGTCATAAATTTGATCAGCAAGAACGGCAACCTCATCGAGACAAGTAGCTTTTTGTGACGCAATAATAACTTGAATATGCGTTGGAAGGCGACCTGACCACAAGCTGCGTAAAAAATCGTCACTAACACCATCCCCTGCTAAAGCTCTAAGGTGGCGCAAAAATTGCGACGGCTTGCGATCACCTAACTCCTCATGAGTTAGCAATTGACGCATTCGATGTTCCCGGGAAACCGAAAGGCGACTAATAAGTTCCTGTTTCAATTTCTCGTACTTGCCGGTCGACGGTGGGTTTGTAATTATGTCCCGAACCTCCCGTGCGCTACGTTGATCTAACTCACGAATCACTTGAAAAAATTTCGTACTATCACCTTTTATTCCCGTGCACGCGAACTGAGCTTCAACCTGCGCAAACCAAATTTCGGGATCTTCCGGCCAAAATGCGGGCAAACGTAAAGTAACTCGGTCCACCGCACTAGTATCTTCACCGCTCGCGTCCTTAAATTCTTGCGCGACGTCATCGCTATCGCTACGAGGCGGATTCATTATAACAACGCAGGCAAAATAACACGACGCGCAGAAAAATCAAAAGATTAAAAGCGTATTGAATTGGAGTCACCACTGAGGATGTAATGTTACTATCCCTACAAATAGCGAGCGGATACGAAGTGAAACACCGTAGAAGAAATACAATTCGTATACTGATAATAATTAACGAGATATTAACAATAATTGTATTGGAAAAGACGGAAGGACGAGTGACGTGGAGTTGTGTGCGAGGTGATTCGTAGCACACTGCGCTGCCGGCCAAGCGACTGGGAGCAGGTTCCAGACCGGTCCGCGTCTCCCGCATACCGCGCCCCGCGACATACGCGTTCGTGA